TAGAACAGTCACACTGACCCCTTTACTGCATGTCTCACCAAACTAACAGAAAGTGTGGCCTCCCGGGAGAGATGGTAACTCTGGTGGCAATTCTCCTGCGCAGTGAGCTCTGGATTTTGTATAGAGAAAAGCAGGCTCTGAGCTAGCCCCCACCAACCCAATTCCTTTCAAAGTGTATCTGAACTGTGTGACGGAGATGACTAAGGTGAGCTGCAATAGCAGAAGGGAGCTCAGGGCATCCTTGTTACCGTTTGGGCAGGTGTTACACGGAGCTCTTTCCTGCCTGAGCTGCAGCACTTAAAGCTGGCTTTGGCGTTTCTACACCAAGCTGTGGCCATGCCAGCAAGGATAGGCCTGAGCAATGGATTGCTTGACAAAGCTTTTGTTATAATAGCAAAATTGATGTCGTTGTCAATGCCGCTCAAAGGTTGTTGTCAATGGCTTTCTCCTCTCACGGCCTGAAACTCTCACTTGCTGCATCGGTGAAAAGGAGGAGAGCCGGGGAGAGGAGCCCCTGATGCACGGACCAGCAGTCTGGCAGGCTGCTGAGCCTCTCTGGCTGCCAGTGCAGCTCTGGCAGAGCAGTCAGGCCCAGCCCATTGTTGCAGGACAGGGCTCTCTCTGCTGGGAGAGTGTTTGCAGCAGCCTGGGAGTGTGGCCTGCCCCGACGCCTGTGCCTGGGGAGCACGGGGGCCCAGGCTGGCCAGGAGGCACGCAGCATCATGTGGGGAGGGTGAAGATGGCACACAGAAAGCGAGGTCTCTCCCCAGTTTTTGGAGGAGGATCTCAGGGCTCTGCTTAATTCTGTGTTGCTGTGTTTCCTAGCTAGCTGAAGGGCTTGTCTGTGCTTGATAGCACTTGTTGTTTCTCTTTTCTTGTTTGTTGGAGGAGGAGGGGAGGGAAGGTGAGGTACTTTCTATTTAAAACCAGCAGCGTTTGTCATCTCAATCCAGGTGAATTAACGCACACTGGAAGGAAGTATGACATTCACATTGCCTTTTGTAATCTGGGAAAGCTGTGGATGGATGCATGCATCATCACAGGAGTTGCTTTGTTCACTAGTGCTTTCACTGCTGTCCCGTTTTGCTTAGCTGGGTACTCCTCTCAAATCTTGTGCTCCCTACTGCAGTACAACCAAGCATTCCCCTTTTGTTTTCATGCTGGCGTGTGGCCAGATTCAGCCTCTCATGGTTCCAGCTTGCAATGAGTTTCTGCACCCAGAGCCACCTCTGAGTTAAGCAGTAGCTGCTTCGCACTACTGTGTGTACATGAGCTGAAGTCCTGGATTTTAAGGCCCTCTTGGGAGAAGAATATGGCTAGCTTTATCTAAACGGGCTGTCGGACCACCTGAATTGAGAAGTACTGTTAGAGCGTAGAGCAGCAGGAGAGATGGCATGCTCAACATCTCATCCAGAGAGATGTGAAAGACTAGTAAGCTCACACAGTGGTAATGGCGAGATTTCTGGGAGAGTTTGTGTAGCCTGCTAGAAGCTTGCAGCTGACAGATAGGCTCCTGTATCCTTGTCTGTCATGTTATTGGCCTGACTGCAAATGCTAATTGAAAGTTTGCTTTGGCTCACCCAGCTCCTGGGGGTCTCCTGGACCCTCCTCTAGTGGAGGGCCAAGCTGACCTGTAAAGGGAGCATAACATGGCAGTGCTCCACAGGCAATCTCTTCCAGTAATTACTGGGCTTTTGTGAGTAGCTCTTCCATATGTGAAGGCTACAGGTGTAGTCAGTCTTGTTTTACTGTTTTCTCTCCCATCTCCCTTAAATCCTTATTGCAGAGACATCTGTGTCTTTCACTACAGTGAACCAACCTTCCAACAAGAACTTAACTGTTTCCTTGACTAAATGTGTAAGTCCTCCCTCACTCTCTCTGCAGAGTTTGCCTGTCACTTTTCAAAGCTTCTGTCTTGCTCTCACTGAGGTGTGCAAAACACCTGGCAGTAATATGATGAGACAAATCTCACTTGGCAGCTTCCAGTGTTGATCTGCTGTGCACCTCCCTCTACCCTGTCTCCAAGTATCTTCATGGAACTGCTCCAAATGCAGCTTTAAACTTGTTCTTTCACCTGTCCAGATCGCTTGCAACAGAGCCAGGGAGGTGGAAGCTGGGTCTTTGAGCTTAATAAGAGGAAATTCAGTATTGTGTAGATCTGTAACAGCACAGTGAGCAAGAGTTCATCTTTCCCTCACGGAATGTGGGCTTGAATTTGAGGATCTTGCTGTTCAGACCTTTATAGTCCATCCTGTCTGTATCAGTAGTAACCCTTCCTTAGCCATCAGCTTGTGTCTAAGACCACCCATCTCTCTAAACAGTCTCTCTGCTCCTGGGGAGCCTGTTTTTGAAACTTGTCTATATTAGTTGTGTTAAGCAGTACTTTTCTGGTAATGTAGCAGAGGAAACTCAAGTTAGGTGGCAGGAGAAGCTAAGAGTGTAACACAAGAATGATCTGATGTGATCATGGAACCTTTGTTAAAAGAAGGGTAGACATACCTATCAGGGACAACACAGGTAAACTTGATCCTCTTCTGGGCAAGGTGGCTGCTTACAAGTTTGTGACCCTGCTACTTTCTGTGCTCTGACAAGCTCTCTTGTTTCTGTGCTGGAGCTTCTTCCTGACAGTCCTGTACCTTCACGTGTGCAACAGTTTCAAAAGATGGCTTAGCAGCACCAAATTAGTTCGCTATTAAGTGGTAGCAGCAAGAGGTGGCAGAAGCCCTGTGGGACCTTTCTGAATGGACACATCTCTTTGAAACATACTGTTTGTTGAAATTATAACTATTTACAATTTCTTGCTACTTTTGGGAAAAATCCCGAATTGCTCAATAATCCTGGTTTTGTAACAAAGATTATCTTTTCAATATCAAAAATATTAAAGATTCCATGAGAAAAGAAAAAATTAAAACAAACACTGATGAATTAACTCAGTTAACTCAGTTTTTTTCCTTTTTTTTTTTTTTTTTTTTTTTTTTTTTAAACTAGAAGAGAATGAAGATCCTCATGATTAGGATGTATATAACACTTCAGTTCTAACTCCAGAGCATGGGCTCCTTGCTTTCACAGCAGGTGTTCTATTTCACTTGACGTGAGGGAAAATACAAGCTAAACCAGCTTTCAGATCAGGGATGCCCTAGCTGTGGAGTTAACTGTGACAATTAGTCCCAATGTATTGATGCCCTTATTCTTTAACTTTCTATATGGGGTCAGAAAAACTTACTTGTGACTACAGAGCCACTCCAGCACAAGGAGATCACTAGTGATTTCAAAGATTTGTCTTTCCATGCAGAGTCTCCCAAGTTGAAATTGTCACACACATCCTCCCCAGCAGCAGTTGAAACTCTGGAAAAAATGCTATTCTTAAAATTGCAGGGAAATTAGGAATGTCAGAGAAAGAAAAAGTGTATAATTTGGTTGTCTGTTTTGAGCAAGAAAAGGAATTTTTTTTGTATGTGAGCTTTGTGAATGGTCCAGAGACAGGTCTTGGGACTTTTTTTTTTTTGGCCACTGAAAAGCTAGTAGGCTTTTACTTGTAGAAATGTGGAACAGTTTCTCTGACCAAAAGATGCAGGACTACGTGTTTGTGTCTGGAAGCTTTGACTTCTGTAAGACAGGATGAAGGAGGAGAACACTGAAGCTTTATTCAGGGGGAAGTCTGACTGTGGCTGCACATTGCAGCAGATCCTTCAGGGCTAAATTACAAGCTCTGTTAGGACTGCAGGGGTACCCAGTGTATGTGAAGCAGCCTGAAGCAGCAATTTATAAGCCATTTCTGACAAGCAGTGGGTAGGGAGTAGAGAAGACAGGCTGGAACACTAGGGAGAGTGTCCCATAGGCAGCAGAAAAGGGAGGGGAGCCACTAAGGTTTGTCTTTCTCTCATGTGTTTTAAGGTAAGGATTGTGGGTCATGGGATAGGTAGAAAACAGAAAGATAAAAGCAGTGAATCAGATTCTACCAGCCTTTTCACTGTCATTTCCCAAATGTACATTCCCTAGTGCTTTGTCATGTCTGAACTTCAAATGCAATAATGGATGGGAAATTCCACTATATCCTTTGGGAAACTGTCCAACAGTCCTGAGATTACTTTTTTTCTTTTCCTCCCTAAAAGAGTAGACTAAATGATGATATAGTTTACCTTTGTAGTCAGTAGATATGTCCACACATATCAGAGGTACTCCTCTTAACCCATGTGTTTTACAGACGTCAAATATCTTGTGTCTTGTGTCATGTCCTATTTACTTGTTAATCAAATTCTTACATTCCTATGTTTTGTTAATCAGTTCCTGTGATCAGCTGCAATAAGGCCCTGTGTTGTACATACATACACAGAGATCTGTAAAGAGAGCCATCAGCTCCAAAGTACAGGCCTTACCCCATTGAAATCAAAGAGAACTCATGAGCTCTTCTAGTGGCTAGCTTAGAGTATTTGTCCACCATGCCCCACAAAAATTAATGGAGATTTTGATGATTTTCTTGTTCTCTGAATGCCTTCTGGTATCTCCTTTTGGGTTTGAGATAGCTAGCCATGGCCAACACTTGTCATAACTTGCACTGCAGCTGTTCTTCAGAGATCAACGTCTCTGCTCTTTGACCAAAGTCACTTTCTGGATTTACATGTAAAACTAAAAAGACATTATTAGTTTTATTTTGGCATTACTCTCATAGTGCAGGCTTACATCAGGTGTTTGCCTACTCTAAGTCTTGGTATTTGTTTCCCAATTCTTATCACCCACTAAGTATGGGTTTTTTTGGGTTTTTTTATGAAGCGCATTAGTAACTGTTTTTAAAAGTCTCTTAAGCCAATTAGATCCACCATATAATTCTGTAGTAGTAACAGAAAAATGCATATTTTTTTTATCAGGATGTGTCACTGATGGAGTCTGAAGAAACCAGTGAGGGTGATACTGCTCCCCAAGAAGCCTGCAGAGCCACTGGGGAAGCTTGGGATTCTACAGCCAGGAAAAGAGAGCATCATGCCCCTCACGCATCAGCCAAAATGAGCACCAGCCCGTCTGATTCTGCAAAGGGAGCAGAGCTCAGCACTCCCAAGGACTGCCTTTCTGCTCCAGTGAAAGGAGCAGAGATGCTGGGCAGACCCTCTAACCCTGTGCAAAAAGTGCCAGCAGGACTGGAAAAAGAACAAGGTGATGCAGAGCCTCAGAAGGGACTCTCAGAATTGGAAGGAGAAATTCTTTTAGAGGAGGGTGGACTAGATTGTTCTCTGAAACTTAAGCAAGTAGAGCTGGTTGACCTGGAAAGCAACCACAACTCTTCCTCTCTCAGCATAGTCCGGGATGGGCCAGCCCCTGGGAATGCCATCCTGCAGGCTGTGGACCTCAGCTCTGAATTTGCTCAGTGCCAGGCAGAACTGGCTCTTCATGACTCAGACCCTCAGGCCCAGCATCTGAAATGTCCTTTGACTGATGCTGTTTCCTCTCAGAGAGAGACACCTAAATGCTTCTTGGTATGTAAAACCATTTCAGAGGGTCATTATAAGGCTGAGCCATTTCTGGATAACATCTCCATGGATACTTTGCAAGAGGTTGATACTGGTGCAGAGCAGAAGCAAAGCAGCAAAAAAGTGTCACCAGCAACTGATGAGCAACCTACCTCAGAGGAAGCAGTAGAGGACATGGTTAAACCTTACACTTCTGAAGATGCAAAGGAAAGCATAAGAGCACTCCAGGGTTTGGAAGAGAATACAGAGTCTTCCTCTTCTCATCAATTGTCTTCCACCTCAACAGATGACAGCCAAATACGTTCACTACAAGCAGAAGGTAACATCTCAGCTGGTGAAACAAAGAATAGCAGCAGGGTCAAAGACCAGGGAAGAGTAATGGTTCCTGAAGAAAACTCATCCACTTCCAAATGCCTTCATCTTGAAGGTGATCACAGAAAAACAGAGGGCAGACCTGCCTCTCCAGCAGAGAGTGCCTTCCAAGTAAAAGATACTGCTAAAAAAGTTGAAGAAGTGAATACTTCACAGCATAGGGAACCAGCACAGGAGGAGGTAGCGTCTGAACTTCAACAAGAAGAGGAGAAGAAAGAGTGCAAAGAGCAGAATCTGCTGGAAGAAGGAAAATCTTTGGAGCCTAAAGATCAGAAAAAGAAGGACCAAAATGAGCAGGAACAACAGCTGCAGAGGGAAGAGCTCAAACTGGAGGCTCTATCATCAGCTTTTGTGTCAGAGAGATCTTCTGTTCCTAGGCGTAGTGTGGACTTGGGTGGTTTGGAGAATATTTTTTTGTCTGAGCAAACAGGGTCAACATTTCTTCCTGGAGAACCTGTCTCTGTGGATCAGCATCTTGGTGAGGAAATATTGATGAAAGCTCATGTCACAGAAGCGGGCTTTGGATGTCAGCCACCTGCTGTCAGCCCTCTGTCTTCAAATAACCTGAACCCAGTGGGTGAAACTCCAGTGGCACCTCCACGCACATGCCATATCTCTGACCAGGCAGAAGACCTAGAAGACTCTGGCCGCTTTTCTAACGGTGGTGAGGATATTGGAGAAGCTGACTGGGATGACAGGACAAGACGGGGCAGGGAGGATGAACACAGTGATGGGCATGGACATGCTGTCCAGAGGTTTGATAAAACATCAGTCCATGGAGGAGTGGCAGCACCTTCTAGCACCGAGAACCCAGAGGCTTCTGTTCTAGCACACCCTTCCTCTAGTACCAAGAATTTGGAGCCACCTGATCCTGTAGATCGTCATCCCATTACAAAAAATTTGGGAAACACTGAGCTTCAGGACTTCGTTCCAGCTTTACCCTTGGAGCTCACATTTGTGCCTTCAATGTCTGACCCACAGCAAGAGGTTGCTAATGAAACAGCCTCTGTGACCCCTGAGGACTGTCCTGCTGCCAACCTGAACAAACTGCTAGACTCTGGAGAGAAGCTAGCCAACCAAGCTGCTTCTGTACAAGTGCGGGACCCAACATCAGGGGAAACTGCTATTGTAAGTACTGATTCAGGGGAGGTCAGTGCTTCCCACGAACTCCTTACTTCTGAGGAAGGCTGTCATGAAGACCTTAGTGGCCCGTCTTCTTTCTCTGTAGTATACATGAACTGTCTTCCTGTAGAAGGGAGCCTTCCTGAGGATAGGAGGACTGTGGCTATCACTGCTGGGCCTTTGGAACCACCCCAAACGCTAGGCAGGACTTCCACTCCCCTGAACCACCCAGAGACAATTCAGCAAAACTCCCCAGAAACAAGTGCCATTATCCATGGAAAAGAAATGGGATCAAATCATGAAGCACAACAAATGCCTTTACTCGATCAGTCTGACTGCAGTTTAAACCAAAAAGAGCCTGGATCCAGAATCTCCAGTGTCCTGAGCACCCTAACTTGGCCCTCTGAAGAAGATAGGGTCCTTGCTGTGAACCAGCAAAAACAACCAGTGTCCCCTGTGTCCCACTCAAGCCTACCTCTGCTGTCTGAGCCTGATGCCAAACAGCTTCCTCATCCTCCTCCTTCCCATGTCCAAAGCCCCAGTCAAGCTCAGGCCCCTGCACTTAATGCAAATCACCTTGCTCAACCTGCAGCCCTTGAAAACTGCCAGCTGCTGGCTCCTGTACCCTGCTCCAGGCCACATCTCAACTGTGGTATGGACAATAGTAAGTTACTAGCCATTCACCCTACTATAAGCCATCCTCTCTGGACTGCCGCCTCCATGTCTGATTCTAACACTGTCGCCTCTGCTTCTGATGGAGAAGATGTAGCAGAGAAGGATGACCTTGTTGAAGTAACTAGAGAGTGGGATCTTGGTGACTCAGGTACCCGTGGTACAGAGACTTCTCATGATTCAGGGGTCAATTTGTTGGCCAAAAGCTCTTCTGCTGGAAATGAAGCATTGGCTGGCTGCTCTGACACCAGCCCTGAAACAGTGGACCAGCACATGGATATAGAGTGTGGAAAATCCTCACCTGACCACCCTTCCTGGCCCTCGCTGGAAGGCCTGATAACATCCACAGACTCCAAGAGCAGAGACTCTGCACAGCCACTTCCAATGCTAGCATTCACCAATCCAATTCACTTCCTCCAGCTCAGCCCTCCATCCCCACCAACCACCAGAACGACCTGCCAAGATGAGGAAGTCTTGGGGGAGCTGCGATGGGAGCAACAGGAAGGCATCTTCAGTGTGGACACAAAGAACGTCCAAGCTCCATTGGCAATCACAGAGAAAACAGAAGGTGAGAGGAGAGTCAAACAAAGGCTGGAAGGAGAAGGAGGAGAACACCACTTGGTAGCTCAGCCACAGGAGGAAATGCCCAGACATTCACCCTTGGAAAAATCATCAAGTTGGCCAGACAAAAAAACAATCAGGGTAGTTCCACAGGAGCCAGCAGCCAATCAAGAAAACCCAATTAAACGCCGAGTAAAAAGCAAGGACTGGCACCGTCAGGGCCTGAAGAGGATATCAGTACCACCAGACATCTTGCAGGGTGAGTCCGCTCCTCCCTTTTTCTGCCCCTCCCTCCCCCCCCAACTTATTGCAGATGCCAAAAATGTAGGATTAAATTAAATAGGCAATGATAGAGGCATGAGACCTGAGAGGCATTGCTCTTGTGCCTTTCTGGCAATACTGCTCACTCCAGCCCTGTACGTAGCCCCCTTGCTGTCTTGCCCCAAGCTCACCCCTCCCAACTCTCCCCTAGCTCTTTGCTGCCCTGCAACCAGTGCATCCTGCTTGTTCTCTGGAGTAGGGCTGCACTCTGCAGCTCAGTCCCCTCATTTCATGCAAACACCTGAAACAGAGAACGTGTCTCACTTCACGGATCCCTCACCCCTCAACTTTGCATCCACTTCCTCTTCTTGTCCCTTCTCCATGTTTAATGATCTGTCACCCTTACCCAGTAACACAGGCTATTTTGGCCTACCTGCAGGAATAGGTTTCTTGGTGGGGCTCAGATCTGAGCTTCTGCTCGTCATCTCTGCTGCCATCACATGGCGGTAGCTTTTGCTGCACTTGTGGCAGCCCGTTTGCAAGCAGTAAGGAAAATACATGCGCACAACCTCAGTAGCCTGTATCTGTTACAGCATGTTTTAGTTCCTTGTTTATTTGCTACCTCCCTTTATTTCGCAACTGACACCTTTAGGTTCCAATTTGACCTCCTGAAAGAGATGATCTCCCTGAGAACATAGGATTTGAGAGTACAGATAAGAATGCAAATTTGTCAAATCCAAGGTACCAACTTGCATAGAAGCCAAATCACTGATGTCACAAATGGAAAACATGCATCTTCTGTCATGCTCATTCAGACAGTACTTATTGGCAAGATGCATGTCTGTTCTTTATTGTATTTTACATGATCTTTAAACATGCTTCTTCTTGGCTCTTACTTGGTTTATTTTCCATGTTCCACAACATGCTGTATTTTTGGCACAGAGGAAAAGGAGGGGAGCATGGAGGGGTGTAAAAGGTTTGGCAGCACTTGAATCAAGATTTGTTCGTGTGTTTGACCTGTAAATTCTTGGTTCCAAATTTTAAAACATTCAAGGCAACAGTACTGTCTTTCCTCTGACCCATACTGGCAGCTCAGTCTTTGAGCTTTCTTCCTCCTCCTGCTTCCAGTGTATTTTATATAGAATTTCTTCACACCTTATGTAGTTAAATCCCTCACAAAACAAAAGAAAAATCCATACTTTCCCCATTTTAAATAAACAGAAGATGACTTAAGCAGCAGTTTATGAATGCTCATGTAAGTACATCAATGTGAGAATTGGATTACAGTATTCATTCTCAGGCCGCGTCCCTTCTAAGACTCTTCAGAGGAGTAACTTTGTTAGATGTGCAGCATTTCTGCCCCAGAAGTCACTGAGGGTTTTTGGGGCTCAGTGTCCACAAAAGAAAGTCTAAGGCTTTCAGACATGACTAGTGACTTTGGGTCCATTGATCCTCTGATGCCTGGCCCAGGTTGCTGAAAGAGGAAAGGCAGCACCCAACAGGGCCCACAGGCAGCGGGGCAACTTTGGGCACTGGAGAGGGAAGCTCTTAGAGTTACTGTCATTGCTGAAATGTGTCTGCTTTTTTCTTTGTATGAAAAGCAAATGTGGCTAAGTAACAGATGTACAGTGTAAGTAATGTCAAGGATTATTAAAACCAGAATGTTTCTGACCCAGAAATAAAGGTCAGGAGGGCACCTGTACTCCAACCCAAGACCACCACACCATTTAGGTGGGGTGTAGGTAAGTGGTATCTGTGTATCATTTGGATTGTAGCTTGATTCTAAAAAGGGACTTACATGTTTACTTTCTAATTGTCTTATATACAGAAATTCCTTCTATTCCTTCAGAGGAAGAAGCTCACAAAGCACACAGGGAACCACCAGTGAGTTCAGAAACAGTCATATTGCGGTAAGTCTCTCAAAGGCCCCTTGGAATTTGCCCCCATCCCTGTGTAGCACAGAGACCTGACACTCTCCATTGCTCCTAAGGGACCAGTGTTTCAGTCCATGCCTCTGGGAGAGGACCACATTGCAACAGAAGTATTTCTGTCCCTTTAGGACAGTGTTTCCATTAAGCCAAACTTTGTTCTTTGTTAAGTAAACCATGTGGAGCTTGAGCTTGTTGGAAAGAGAGGACCTTGCTGTGACAGATCTGTTACTGAGATTTGGATAAGCCATGTCTGCTGTTGTGCTCTTCATTCACTTTTTGTTTCCAAATCCTTATTCCCTGACAGAGAGAAGAAACCTGCAGATGCAATGGAGAACTTCAAACGCCGGCACTCCAAACTGATCAACTCCTGTAAGTACCTTCTGCCTCAAGTGCTGTGGCAGACCCCTCTCGTCTGTCATCCTCCACCCTTGCAGTGAGCACAAAGGAGAGGGGCTCCTGCCACATGGTAGCAGGGAGCGGGCATTAGAGAGCCCTGTTCAGTGGAAGCAGTGAAACCAGAGTCCTGCACTACTGTCAGGCAGCCAGGTAGCTGGTGAGCTTTGCTTACAGTGGGTGCATGTGGTCTAATGTATTCAGTTATCCTAATCTGAGACACTAACAGAGTTTTCTCCAGACTGAAGAAGAGGGTGAGTAGCTGCTGTAGAAAGTATAACTGTATATGCCTCTCTTCACAGCAAGATTGCTGTATCAGGAGTACAGTGATGTGGTTCTGAACAAGGCCATTCAAAGCCAGAAGAGAGTGGATTCTTTCGCAGAGGATATAGAGTCAAGTTTCCCAAGCTCACCAAGGCTACGGAGGAAAGTGCTGTCTCCCCAGGACTCATATTTGCAACGTCTTTCGGTCTCATCTAATGCATCCCTCTGGCAGGACATCCCCATGATACGGGGCAGCAGAATGCTACTCAATATGTCCCGTGATGAGCAGAAGCTGCAGGAGGTAAAGGACAGATGTAATAAGGTAGATGGGTGGTCTGTAGTCACAGAAGAATCCCCAGAAGGCTGGTTAAAGTAGAGAGCAAAAATGTCTGATGTGGGAAAGCAAGTGGTTGAATGCAGAGGTCACCTCTACCCATGTAAGCAGTGTGGGGATGTGGTACCAGTGCTTGTGACGTAGTACAATGCTACAGTTCAGAACTGTAGAGAAAAGAAGCACTGAAGGACAGACTCTGGAACATATCAATAACTTAATGAAAACAGACATAGGGAAATTGGAATGAGAGAAAACAAGGAATTTTGAGCATGTTCAATGCAAAAGAGACTATTAAAGTAGAAGATTCCAGCATTCTCCCACACATAAGCTTATGAGAGGTGCTAATAAAACCACAGTGAATTGTAGTTCCTGTGGCAGAGTGTGAGTTTACCAAATTGACGTATGTGAGCTACAGGGCTGAGAGGAAAGAGGAAGAGGTACAAGTTCAGCAAAATCTTACACAGAAAATCTGGGTATGGAAAATGAGAGGAACTGAGAAGTGGATGGAAGAACCCAGAGAAAGAGACCAAAAAAACAGCACAGGAAACATGATGAAGGAGAAAACACAGGTGATGCAGATGCTGGAAAATTTATGGGAGCATGTAAAGCAGGGAACCTAGCGAAAATGGAGTTGAGAGGGAATAAAAAATAAAATGAGAGCAAGTAGCTGTTTTTCTTTTAAGTCATACCACAAGTCTGTCTTCTAAATAAGAAAAGACTATATATAATGACATGCTTGCCCTTCTGCCTCTCTTCTGTAATTACGCACTACTTACATCATGTACTGGGAAGTTTTCTTGCTTTGCCCCTGTCTCCTCTCTGTAAGATTCCTCACAGACTTGTGTAGTCTACTGATGCTGTGCTCCCTTCTTTCATCTCTCAAGGCCAAGTTTGAGTTGATAATGTCTGAGGCTTCGTACCTGCGCAGTTTAAATGTGGCAGTAGATCACTTCCAGCGATCAGCAGAGCTCCAGTCAATGCTCACCAATCAAGAGCGTCAGTGGCTTTTCTCCCGCCTTCATGATGTACGCGATGTCAGTGCCAGGTGAGATATGGCCCTTTACTTCTGGCCTAGCACCCTCCATGAAGCACAGACACAGCCCATCATTTCCATCAATAACATCTCTCACTCTTGTTCTGCATGTTCAGTGGCCTTCCAGGTAGAAACACACACAGCACTTCAATTGCATACCAGTGCTGCCCTGAAAGGAGCATTCACCTTTTTAGGTGACAGGGCAATGTAGATCTTGGCGTTAAGTCCCAGATATTATGGTGCAATTGTGCACAGAGCTTGTTGCAGGAGATCAAAATGCTACTGTAGCCATGCCCTATTGGCTTCAACTACAACTAAACCTGACTAGCTAGGCTTCAGCCCAAAACAAATGCAGCTCCTGCCAAACACAAGAGAAAAGAAGCAGCTGCACAAGCCCTGACCAGGGGAGGAAAAAAAAAAAAAAAGAAAAAAAAGAAAAAAAAAGAAAAAAGGAAAAAAAGACAATAATAGAAAAATAGGAAGAAAACAAGGGGAGGGAAAAGTAAGTTACAGCCATCACTTGACAGAACTTAATGTGAACCAATTGAGCATAAGTCATAAAATATAGACATGATCCCACATGCAAGGAATCCTGTATGTTGCAGGATTCTGTTCTGCTTTTCTCCTGCAAGGCTTGGCTACATATATTGCTAAGCTTGTAAGGCTTGCTGCTACCTTTTCCATTTCTACTAGGGGGATTATTCTGGTGATATCTTAATTTTCAGTTGTTTCCTGACCGTGCCTTTAGAAGTAGCAAGTATGACCTCTCAAGAACAGAGGTCTTTTGCCTCTGCTTCTTCCTTGCCTGATTCCTAGCCCTAAATTGTCATTGTACAGGCATTATGCTCTCTCTAGAAGTAAAGAGCTGTCTTGTGCTTATATGCAGGCTGTCAGTATTTTAGTGGACTGGGGACATTCCTGTTTCATTAAAAGACACTGATATTTCCCTCTCCTTTTATGGCACCACAACTATGTGCTGCAGTTTCCTCTTTGACTTGGAGGAGAAATTTGAGGAGGACATGTTCACCTTCCATGTGTGCGATGTGGCTCTGAAACATGCCCCCGAGTTCCGCAGGGTGTATCTACCATATGTAACAAACCAGACATATCAGGAGCAAACCTTCCAGCGGTTACTGTAAGTTTTCTCATTTGTTGCACCCTTTTCCCCCGCTTTTTGCTGCACCTTGAATATTCACTCTTTCAAACAATGGGGAATGCTGCAGGTACAGGCTGTTGGCTAGTGCTTGCGCTAAATTCTCAGAAGAACAGGCTGGAACCTTCTTCAATTCAGCGGCATTTGGGACAGCAGGACAGAGCTGCTGCGTGCTCCTTTCCCACAGCATTGGAAATGGAAAGAATAATGAATATCTGATTTTTATTGTAGGTTGTTCTTTCTGTCTACTTTCTAATGAAGAGGGCAAAAAATGATTATCCTGGATAGTGGGTTTTTGGTCTGTGGTTTTCAGACTACTAGGAATCGGAAAGTGGTCATTTCAAGTGAAACTTTCAACCTCAACCATTCTATGATTCTGTAATTAAGAAAAATATGGCTGCTTTTAGTAAGCTTAAACTGGTGATCCAAAAGTCTTTAAAACTGATTGAAAATCCTAGGGCCACCGTCAGTCTCTCTTGCTCTGGGAGACGGAGTGGAACATCTCTTGCTCTTCTCTTCTCTACCCGGTGGCACAACCAAGCATTGCTCAGGTACAGGCCCAGTCCTGAGCAAAGTGTCCTTGTCACTTCTGCACTGCTTCACTTCATAACAACGCAATTCCAGTGAAGCTATAGTGATTCCAGGTGAAGACACCATTCCCAACAGGCTATTCAGGCACCATCTCTGGGTGCTGCTGACTGGGAGAGATCTAGTCTTGCAATTGATTCCTTTCAGGGAAGGCTCGGTTCCACACAGAAGGGACCACCAGGATATTGTCTAGGGCAACGTCTACAGGGCCTACAACCTTCTTTCTCATCTCTTCAAGAATATGGGATTGGCTATTCTGGTGGCAGGTGCTACTCTCGTACCATTAGCCTTGTGTCTGCTACTGCCCAACACAGGAAACTGGATGGCAGTGACTGGATCTAAGAGGGTAAGAGAAACATAGGGGAAGCCAGCTCCTCTCAGGAGTAGCAAGAGAGGGGAGGCAGCTGTTTCCAGACTCTGAACACAGCCCCTGGAGCTGGACCATTCAGTGTAAGGAAAGAATACAAACTACCACTGTCCCTGTGAAAGGTGCCCTACTGATAGGGGGGAACTCAAATGTAGATGTTAATGCTGGCTTTTATTCCAGAGGGCTGTGGCAGGAAGAGGAAAGCTATTGTAACACTTGTACCACTGTTCTTCTATGGCTGTTAGAAACCCATGCTTGCTCTTCCTCAGCAGAGTGGCACGGTTTCTTAACACCTTTTGCCACAGGGACAAAGCCTGACTGCTGGGAGTACTCCAGCACTCACTGAAATCTGATATTTGGAAGACTGTTTATTTTCTCTGATGTTTGGATGTCTTGTTTCTTTACCACTCCCACAGAAATGGAAACGCAGGGTTCCAGCAAGTCCTAGAGAGACTGGAAAGTGATCCAGTATGCCAGCGCCTCTCACTTAAATCCTTCCTCATCCTCCCTTTCCAGCGCATCACTCGACTCAAACTCCTCCTACAGGTAACCGTGGTGGTTCTCTGCTTTCCTATGGTTTCTCTCAAGCTGATGCTTCTTCAAGTCTGAAAGTCGTATAAATGTGAGCTAGCTCCAGGCACTGGGTAGAGGACTGCATACCGCCTTTCGTGTTGCATCTGTGACAAATCTGGCAAGATGCTCTAAAGCCACTCTGTTGCGTATATTGTGAATATGCCTTTGCAAAAACAAACCTGTTTCTCATTGTAGAAATGCCTGCTGTGCATTAGACCAGCACCATGAATTGGACATGCTAGCATCTGTGAGGCGATGCAGTTTGTATACCAGTTAAAACTTTCTTGCAACACTACTTAAATTATTTATTGGAATACAATTGATGGAGTCTTCTCAGAATGTGTTGATTTACATTTTATTGAACTTTTTTGGCTTTCTGCTAAGAAAAAGCAAGGGTTCCTTGGCTGCCCTCTGGAAGGCAGCCTGTCTCTACTCTTTGCCTGAAACGTTGTCTAATAGGAGACTGCCAGACAGGGAACCAGCAAGTCCCTAATCAATTAGTTTTGAACTCTTTCTATTAAATTCTTCTTTCTGATTATTTGAGCCTTTTTTGAACAGGAGAAAAGGAATATCGGGTAAAGAACCATTCTGTACATAAGGCTGTTTGTGCTTGGATTAGTTGCTTCCTATGCCAGGTAACTTCTACATGATACTTAATACAATTTAGATTTTCAGGGATGCCCTCTTCAATGCAACTTATCAGTGACATTCTGGATCTCAAATTTCTGGACTTGTTATTTCCAAATCTCATCACCTACCACTGCTTTACCTTCCCTTGAGGCCAGCCTCAAGGGATACCTCTTGGTGTCTCCTTGTTTCTCCAACCCCTCCTAGAGACGTATGTCCAGCTTTCCCTGTTTGCATTATGAAAAACATCTTCTCTCATACAGAATATCCTGAAGAGAACTCCACCGGGGTCTGAGGAGGAAGTGCAAGCAACACAGGCCTATGATGCACTTGAAAAGGTAAGGCTGTCAACCCACCCTGCAGAAAGGGGTCTGGGGGTTTTGGCTGGTGGTACCCTCAGTACCAACTTCCAACTCGGGATATTCTGTGATTCCCCACAGCCATGCTGCATCACACAGCTGCAGGGCACCTAAGTGGCCCAGTCCTTTTCACTGATCCCTTATCGAGGGCCCTTGTCATTGATCCTCACCAGTAACAAACTAGTGTGTTCATGTGGCTCTCCTGCATGTGCAGTGGTAGCTGTGAGCAGGAGCCACCTGGGGTGTGACTGAACTTGCACCAATGATATCGAACTACTTTTTTCAGGACTCCCTCTTTCCAGTCTCCTAATAACCATTCCCTTTGTGTTCCTTACCTTTGTCTCTAACTCGTGATCAACTCCCACCCTAGCCCCTGCAAGAAAATCTTGCTTAAAAAAAAAAAAAAAAAAAAAGGCATGGCAAGACTTTACTCTGTTGTACCTCTTCCTCTATCCTATTTACTACAGAGGCAAGATTTACAGTCTTCTGGGACAACTTGCTATCTAAAATTTGTACAGCGGCATAAGGTAGACTTGTTCCTAGCTAGCTCCTGTTCTGTCTAGTGATGATTTGACCTTTTTGGAATGTCCTTTCCTTCCTTACAATCTCTCCCCTATTCTCCACAACAAACCTAAAGACCAATTCAACATGATACATACCTCCTTAAAACTCTTAGGACTGCACCTGGACGCTGCACAGCTCCCAAAACACTGCAGTCTGAGGGGGGTGGGCAAGATGTCACACTGAAATCCTTAGACTCTAGCTGTGTTCAAGCCAGCATTATCTCTGTGACACTGTTGTGCAGCTGCCCTGTATCACCTCAGGCAGATAGGTAGGCAGCTTTTACAGGCTGAATTACCTCTGTTTCATTGTGTCCTGTCCTCACAGGTACCGGCAACAAGCTCTGAGTTGAGGAAAATCAGGGCTGATGTTTGTCTAATCAGCCTCTTGTGTTTACTGTGGAGCATCTAGTAAGAGGTGCTTCCAATTCAACCTCTGTCACCTGAGAGAGAGGTCTCTAATGTCCCCCCCAAGTACCCAACAGTTAAAAAATACTTATCACAGAAACTTCATCTAAAGAATATCTTCCTTAAGAAAGGATGATCATTGTAGGTATGCAGAGGTTTAGTATGTTTGCCTTGTGTCTTGGTGTCAGGACCACCAC